CGTTCCACTGCCGTTAAGCTGAGAAAGTCTCCACTCCTTGGAGGATTGTAAAAACGATTGCTTATCATGTTTATCACAGTCTGGATATTACTTGGCTTCGTTTTTGACTTTTCATCTGTTCTGTATTTTAGGATATGAACTGTATTATGCTGCTAAATGTGTGAGGTCCAGATTTAAATATGATAGAAAAGTTTATTATTGACCTGATCTAACCACCCCACAGGACAGAAGAGAGTCTTTCTATGTGTCCCTTTTCAGGGATGAGCAGAACTTCTTAAGACATGTTCTGTCTGACATGCCTTCATGTTAATTTGCCATAAGATTGTGTCACATGTCGTTTCCCAAATTAGTCATGCCAAGGGGAATCTAATGAGTGGCCTTAGGCCAGCAGCTCTCACTTTTTAGTGACCAGGCATAGCGGAGCTGGAAGGTGTTACACCATAGTTAGATGTTCACTCCCTGCAGCAGTAGCCGCTGCAGAGGCAGTTTGATATATGTGTGTGGTGGGGATGTAAATTTCTGAAACAATGACCAGCTTTTGGTAAATTCACAAATAAAACAAGCTGCGATCTTCTCCTGATTCATAAAATAGTTGTATTCTTGAAAAATTCGGTGCATATTAAAAAATGATTTGGGTTTAGATTGTAAGCTTAGATCATTATAAGTAAGCGGTCTGCCTACATGAATATGTGAAGGATGTCCAAGAATCGTGAGGGACGTGGAGCAATCCTCCTGAGCATTGCAGACCTTCATCCACTAAGTGCCAGCAGCACTTCCAATCCTTGAGACAATCTGATGCCTTCAAAGTGTCCACATAAACTTCCAGGGGGCATTACTACTGCCAGTGAGGGGGATATGGTCTAAACTAATCAAGGTTCAGCCTCAGAAGCAGGCGAGGGGCTCAGCCTTTTCTCTCAAGACTTGGCCAACAATAGCAGAGTTGGTTCATCAAGGAGAAGGTTGTGTGTGTGTGTGTGTGTGTGTGTGTGTGTGTGTGGAGAGGGGAATGAGCAGAACACCACTGGGCCTGCCACGTATAGATTTCCACACTCGTCTAAAACAGGGGTGGTTTGATTTGATGAGTGGCGTTTAAAGCAGATCTGTGAGGTCCCTACAACACAATAGAAGAGCGACTTGCTTGGACATCAGACGGCCTGGGATCCAGTTCTGAGTCCTCTACCTGCAGGGAATATGAATGTGTACTAGTTACAGAGATCTCGGAACTTCAGTTTTCTTTTCTACAAAACAGGAGCTTAATAATTGACCTCATGGAGTTGTAATAATTAAATAAAATAATTCATGTAAAGTATTTGGTTACTAGTAGGCACTTAGTAAGTAAAGTGTACTTACTTTACTTACTTTACATAATAACTATCATTATTATGTGAAACATCAGAAGTCAAGTCAATTTGCTGTTATTCATTTGAGATACTTGCTGTTTGCTTTCTGTTGACGCAGGTCGACATCTCTAGGTGAAGTTATAAGCTTTGAAGGTTGTATGAGGGCTGTATTTAGTTGCATAAAATGTGAAGAATTTTGACCTGATTAAAAATATGTATGCCTTGTGTTTTTTTCCAGCTCCAAGCCTTTCAGCCATTTTTCATTTTTTTGAATCTTCCCTATTCTATTATCAGAGGTGAAGAATTTGTTTTGGAAGTAACCATATTCAATTATCTGAAAGATGCCACCGAGGTAATACACTCAAGGTTTTGTTGGTCATCTATATTTCTGGAGATCATGGGGATCACGTGCAGCGACTGGGTTGTGTAGTGTTGGGCAACTGGCCATTTTATATATTTCTGTGAGATTGAAAATAGACCTATTTCGTCAGTGATTTCCTCTGGTCATACAAGTCTGAGGATGCTGTCCACACGTGTGAGCTTTCTCTCCTAGTTTCAGCACCAGCTCCCCACTTCGGCCATCTATCTTTCCGTGTTGTTGCCGACGCACAGCTTTCTCCCCCCCCCCGCCCCCCCCGGCCCCTGCATTTTCCTTTGAGCTTCCCACGCTGAGATGTGCTGCCACTCTCACTGCCATTCTGTGCTACTGCGGATGACAGGAAGTCGGTCCGCTCAAGATCTGGCTTGAAACTCAGATGCCTTTCCTGAAGCATCTCACCCCTTCTGTTATGATTTTGTCATCCCCATGTTTATGGGTGCATTCTATTTTCCAGGATTGTCTTTTCTATCTTTTTAGAGACAGGGTCTATTGCCCAGGCTGGAGTACAGCAGCATGATCATAGTTTCCTGCAGCCTCAAACTCCTGGGCTCATGCGATCCTCCTGCCTCAGCCTCCTGAGTAGCTGGGACTATAAGTGTGTGACACAATGCCTGGCTAGTAAAAAAATTTACATTAAATTAGCATACCCGCAAAGCTTCAATTTTAAAGTTGAGTTTTTACAAAAAGTTAGTATTGAATTTTTATATTTTAATTGTTCTTATTATTTCAGGTTAATTCAAGGGTACAAAGAATGAGGTTACAATGTTTGCATTTGATAGGTAGAGTCCCTCTTATATTTGTGTCCTGCTGCCAAAAGGTGTGCCACACACCCCAACATTGTGCCCATTAAGTGGGAGCACACCCACCCCCTCTTGCCTCCCCTCTCCCTGGTACTCCTGTCCCTCACCTTGAATTGACTTGAGTTTTTCTCTTATGTGGATATGTATTAGATCATCTGCTGACTTCATATTAGTATCAAGTACATTGGATTCTTGCTTCTCCATTCTTGGGATACCTTACTAAGAAGAATGTGTTTTAGGCGGTGCCTGTGGCTCAAAGGAGTAGGATGTGGCCCCATATGCTGGAAGTGGTGGGTTCAAACCCAACCCTGGCCAAAAACTATTTAAAAAAAAAAAGAATGGGTTTCAACTCCTTTCAGGTTAATTCAAAAGATGTAAGGTTTCCATCTTTTTAATGGCTGAATAGTATTCTGTGGTGTACATATACCACAGTTTGTTAATCCATTCCTGGGTTGGTGGGCATTTATTTCCACATTTTATGCTTGGCTATTTAAAAAAAATTTTTTTTATAGAGGTGGAGTCTTGCTGTGTTGCCCAACCTGGTTTTCAACTCCTGGATTCCCTCATGAGAGCCTCCCAGCTGGGCCTCCCAAAGTGCTAGGACTGTAGTTAGTAAATCAGCTTCCTGCCAGATGGACCTGTTGAATCATGTGCCTTGTGTCTCCTTACCCAGTCCTGTCCCTGGGAGGCAGGGATTAGGCTCACTGTGTTGTGCCCACAGTAGCATTAAATGAATGATTGATTCTTCCTCTAGAATAAGTACAGATTTATAATTAACTTTATATCATAATCTCTTTATCTATAGGGCAAATTAGTTTTTTCTTTT